TAAAAATTAAGTAAATCATATACCAAATTATGCTATATATTATATATATATATATATATACTTTGACACATTGTTTTTTGTCCTTAAGTGATAAATACGTTTTTTAAATGGAATATTTTAAAACATTGTTTATTGTGTAAACTTGTTTGGACATATATAAAACACATTGTATACTTCCACAAACCCAAAAGGTTATTTATGTGAAATAAAACCAATTAAAATAATTTAAACTGAAGCTTTTTCTTCTTGGCTCTGGTTAAACTGTGATATATATGTTAAAATATTTTAAGTTGCTTAATATCACCTGTAAATAATAAGCCAAGTAATACAAATTACTTTCTTCTGTGTTTTGCTTTTACTTGGTTTTCTATTGAAGATATAAAAAAATATATTTTCATGTTGTTTTAGTTTTCACTATACACTTAATTATTTGCATTAACAGCTTGTAATCATGTTGAGTTACTTAACTAACCATTCACTTTACTGTATTTAGTTGTGGAATAAAAAATCGGGAGCAGTATACATAATGTTAGAAGCCATATTTTCTGCTTATTGGATTCCATTTTTTTTGTATTAGTTTTTGGTTGTGAGATAACAATACATATTTTTGTAACCAAGACTAATTTAGCAAAAGCAATTAAAAATATTTAAATTAGATTATTAACAGAATATTTAATGTGTTTCACTTTACTGTTAAAAATTAAGATTAAATTGTATAATTATTTTCTTTCCTTTGATGTTTCAATTTCTGCTAATTCTCAGAAAATTACAAAATATCATGAGTACTTGTTAGGATAGAAAAAGGTTTTATTTAACTTAGAGGAATTTTGCACAGTGTTCTTTAATAATTTGACAATAGTTATGATATACAAAGATTGACCAGACTGCAAAGAAAAATGTTTTAACTGATAACTAGTGTAATGAAGTTTCAAGTATTTTCACGTACACAGTCCAATGCCAGTACAGAAGTTTTAATAGTGTTCACAATTTTCATACTGTCTTATATTTTATAATAGTTTCAAGATAGGCTAATTTAAAATTAAGTGCATTAATTGCAATTCCAAAAAACTATTTTAAAGTTTTCCTCCAAAGTATACATAAATAGATCATCAATAAAACGTTTCTGTTTGATGACTGGTGTTCAGAGATTTTGAGATCAGTTCAAATTTTGTTACTTTTTTTTTATTTGTTTTTAAATAATATCAAGTGTTTTACAATATTTGCCAGGCCAGAAAGTCACTCATATATATAATTAATTAATGATGAGCAGGTACGTATGATAACATTTTTCTAGCTATGTGTTCATTTATAACATTAAATGTCAGTTTCAGATTCTGGAAGTTTGTTTTGGATGGTAATGCTGTCATGATAGGTGATCAAATTC